TCTCTATAAAAACACAGTACTGTGCTGCTCTGACACTGACACACACACACACACACACACACACACACACACACACACACACACAACTAACAACAGCTCATCCACTCAGTGGGAGAGGAGAGAATGATGGGAAATGTTGCTCTGACTCAGAGTTTGGAGGCGCTGCTGATGTGTTTCCAGTAACGTGTGTATGAGTGAGAGTGAGTGTGTGAGAGTGAGTGTGTGTGTGAACACACTCAGGGATGAGCAGCAACGTTAAAAGCATCAGACTGTCATGAGATGAGAGTAGCGGGTCAGAGTTTACCAGTAGCGGGTCAGAGTTCAGTCCTGCACAGGAACTGGACTTTCATCAAACCAGTCTCACACCGGCAGACAGACTGCAGTGTGAACGCGTCTCACACACACACTCGCACGCGGGGGTTCTTGTGTCCTGCGGGCCGTCAGAGGGATGTTCGCAGGAGGAATGACTGATCTGTTGTGTGTGTTGTGTTTCAGAATGGTGTGTCGGGCGCTGAGGAGGTGGTGTTCTGCCATTACATCATCTGTAACGACACACAGGAGGTGCTGCGCTTCGGACAGGTCGACACAGACGAGAACATCCTGTTACAGAGCAACCAGAGCCACCAGTACAGCTGGAGAACACACAAATCCCCACAGGTGTGTGTGTGTGTGTGTGTGTGTGTGTGTGTGTGTGTGTGTGTGTGTGTGTGTGTGTGTGTGTGTGTGTGTGTGTGTGTGTGTGAGAGAGAGCGAGAGAGAGAGAGACAGTGTGTCTGTCTGTCTCTGTCTCTGTGTGTGTGTGTGTGTGTGTGTGTGTGTGTGTGTCAAGGTTTTACAGATGCTAGAAACAATACTTTTTTAAATGAAAGATTGGTATCAAAGATCAAGTACATTTTCTCACAATATTGGAAATATTTACATTTTAAATCATGAAGTCGAGCCAGTGGATATCACACAAGCAAACTTTGCTCTTGAGTTATACTGGTGGAAAGACTCAAATCCCAGTCAATTATTCACTACAGAAAGTGAAATTATAAAAACATTACGCTGCATTAACGGTTCATATACACATGATGTAGTCAGCCGGATCCAGGCCGTATCCAGATCAAATGGAGGACCTGCGCCTAGACACGACCACAACACACGATGTAGTCAGCCGGATCCGGGCCGCATCCAGATCAGATGGTGGACCTGCGCCTAGACACGACCACAACGCATGATGTAGTCAGCCGGATCCGGGCCGTATCCAGATCAGATGGAGGACCTGCGCCTAGACACGACCACAACGCATGATGTAGTCAGCCGGATCCGGGCCGTATCCAGATCAGATGGAGGACCTGCGCCTAGACACGACCACAACGCATGATGTAGTCAGCCGGATCCGGGCCGTATCCAGATCAGATGGAGGACCTGCGCCTAGACACGACCACAACACACGATGTAGTCAGCCGGATCCGGACCGTATCCAGATCAAATGGAGGACCTGCGCCTAGACACGACCACAACGCATGATGTAGTCAGCCGGATCCGGGCCGTATCCAGATCAGATGGAGGACCTGCGCCTAGACACGACCACAACGCATGATGTAGTCAGCCGGATCCGGGCCGTATCCAGATCAGATGGTGGACCTGCGCCTAGACACGACCACAACACACGATGTAGTCAGCCGGATCCGGGCCGTATCCAGATCAAATGGAGGACCTGCGCCTAGACACGACCACAACGCATGATGTAGTCAGCCGGATCCGGGTCGTATCCAGATCAGATGGAGGACCTGCGCCTAGACACGACCACAACGCATGATGTAGTCAGCCGGATCCGGGCCGTATCCAGATCAGATGGTGGACCTGCGCCTAGACACGACCACAACGCACGATGTAGTCAGCCGGATCCGGGCCGTATCCAGATCAAATGGAGGACCTGCGCCTAGACACGACCACAACGCATGATGTAGTCAGCCGGATCCGGGCCGTATCCAGATCAGATGATGGAGGACCTGCGCCTAGACACGACCACAACACATGATGTAGTCAGCCGGATCCGGGCCGTATCCAGATCAAATGGAGGACCTGCGCCTAGACACGACCACAACACATGATGTAGTCAGCCGGATCCGGGCCGTATCCAGATCAGATGATGGAGGACCTGCGCCTAGACACGACCACAACACATGATGTAGTCAGCCGGATCCGGGCCGTATCCAGATCAAATGGAGGACCTGCGCCTAGACACGACCACAACACATGATGTAGTCAGCCGGATCCGGGCCGTATCCAGATCAGATGATGAAGGACCTGCGCCTAGACACGACCACAACGCATGATGTAGTCAGCCGGATCCGGGCCGTATCCAGATCAGATGGTGGACCTGCGCCTAGACACGACCACAACGCATGATGTAGTCAGCCGGATCCGGGCCGTATCCAGATCAAATGGAGGACCTGCGCCTAGACACGACCACAACGCATGATGTAGTCAGCCGGATCCGGGCCGTATCCAGATCAGATGATGGAGGACCTGCGCCTAGACACGACCACAACACATGATGTAGTCAGCCGGATCCGGGCCGTATCCAGATCAAATGGAGGACCTGCGCCTAGACACGACCACAACACATGATGTAGTCAGCCGGATCCGGGCCGTATCCAGATCAGATGATGGAGGACCTGCGCCTAGACACGACCACAACGCATGATGTAGTCAGCCGGATCCGGGCCGTATCCAGATCAGATGATGGAGGACCTGCGGCTAGACACGACCACAACACATGATGTAGTCAGCCGGATCCGGGCCGTATCCGGGCCGTATCCAGATCAGATGGAGGACCTGCGCCTAGACACGACCACAACACATGATGTAGTCAGCCGGATCCGGGCCGTATCCAGATCAGATGGAGGACCTGCGCCTAGACACGACCACAACGCATGATGTAGTCAGCCGGATCCGGGCCGTATCCAGATCAGATGGAGGACCTGCGCCTAGACACGACCACAACACATGATGTAGTCAGCCGGATCCGGGCCGTATCCAGATCAGATGATGGAGGACCTGCGCCTAGACACGACCACAACGCATGATACGACACGACAGCCATCGGCAATGATCCTCAACAAACTGGTCTCCAAACTCCATCACTCACAGAATGGAGAAAAACCTTGAGAGAAACCAGACTCAGTCGCTCAAGAGGAGAGTCTAGATGACACAATCTCTGCTAGTGATGTATGTCTCGAGACCACTTTTACGTGGTCTCGGTCTTGTCACGGCCTTGACGGTCTTTGGTCTTGGTCTTGTCTTGGTCTCGGACCTCTCGGTCTTGTCTAGGTCTCGCTGTCTAAGACCGACAGAGGATTTAGCAATACAATACTACAATATCCACGGCGATATCCGCAACGGATTGAAGCTCGCGTCCGAGTGAAGACAGTGCGGTGCGCGAGCCGTATCCGCGCCATTGATCGCAGCGGCAACGAGCACTTTGATCACTTGATTTAAAAAAACACATATCATGTACAGTTTTTGATGTATTCATATGCAAAACAAAATCTTACAAGTTATTGCTTAGCTTCAACAACACTAGTCTGTTTTTTTCCCCTCCGGTCTCGGTCTTGGTCTCGACTTGGTCTCGGTCTTGGTCTCGACTTGGTCTCGGTCTTGGTCTCGACTTGGTCTATCTTGGTCTTGGTCTTGTCTTGGTCTCGATACCCTCTGGTCTTGGTAGTGTCTTGGTCTCGGTTTAGGCGGTCTTGACTACAAGTCTAATCTCTGCTGACACTTCAGGCCCGGATCCGGCTGACTACATCATGCGTTGTGGTCGTGTCTAGGCGCAGGTCCTCCATCTGATCTGGATACGGCCCGGATCCGGCTGACTACAGTAAACCTTGGAATAAGCAGAGAGACTAATATTAGCGTAGACGGCATTCTTCTGGGATTTATTGGGAGTGTTCCCGGTTCCGGCTGACCTAATCTATGCAGCCTAACATTCATTTAACTGATTTGAATAATAGGAATGTATATTGTTCTATGTGTATGCCAGGTTAAAGAGATGTGTTTTTAGTCTAGTTTTGAACTGACAGGGTGTGTCTGCTTCCCGGAAAATGTTAGGAAGACTGTTCCAGAGTTTTGGTGCTAAATAGGAGAAGGATCTACCGCCAGCAGTCGATTTAGATATTCTAGGTATTATCAACTGGCCGGAACTTTGAGATCGCAATAGACGTGAAGGACTATAATACGTTAAGAGCTCGCTCAAGTACAGCGGAGCTAAACCATTTAGTGCTTTGTAAGTAATCAGCAATATTTTAAAATGTATACAATGTTTAATAGGCAGCCAATGCAGTGTTGACAGAACCGGGCTAATATGGTCATATTTCCTGTTTCTGGTAAGAACTCGAGCTGCTGCGTTTTGGACCAGCTGTAGTTTGTTTATTAAGCGTGCAGGGCAACCACCCAGTAGAGCATTACAGTAATCTAGCCTTGAGGTAATGAACGCATTAATTAACTGTTCCGCATTTTTCACTTAAAAGCATATGTCGTAATTCAGAAATATTTTAAAGATGGAAGAATACGGTTTTACAGATGCTAGAAACGTGGCTTTCAAATGAAAGATTGGTATTAAAGAGCACACACACACACACACATACACACACACACACACACACACACACACACACACACACACAGGTTCCTAACCGACGACGACTTGACAGAGCAGCCATCAAGTGTTAGACAGAATTCAAGGTTATTATGTGAGGAAGTTTTTTGCCCAATAATTAGAATCTCTGTCTTTTCAGAATTTAGTAGTAGGAAATTACTAGTCATCCAATTTTTTATATCAGCTATGCATTCCGTTAATTTTGTGAATTGGTAAGTTTTGTTAGGTTTTGAAGAAATATAGAGCTGAGTATCATCAGCATAACAGTGAAAACTAATGCCATGCTTCCTAATAATATCTCCTAAGGGTAGCAATGTACAGAGTGTGTGTGTGTGTGTTTGAGGGTAGCATGTACAGAGTGAACAGCAACGGTCCTAGTACTGAGCCTTGTGGTACGCCATACTGAACTTGTGATCGATGAGACATCTCTTCATTTACTGCTACAAACTGATAACGGTCAGATACGTGTGTTTTAAACCATGCTAGTGCAATTCCACTAATGCCAACATCATTTTCGAGTCTATTTAAAAGAATGTTGTGGTCAATACTATCAAATGCAGCACTAAGATCGATTCCTGACCGATCTTGAGAGACACAACCACGATCGGATGATAAGAGCAAATCATTTGTGACTCTGATGAGAGCTGTCTCAGTGCTATGGTACGGTCTAAATCCTGACTGAAGATCCTCCAGATATCATTTCTTTATAGAAAGGAACACAGTTGTGAGGATACTGCCTTTTCTAGTATCTTTGACAGAAAGGGTAGATTCGAGATCGGCCTGTAATTGACTAATTCTGTAGGATACCTGTGTGTTTTTTTAACAAGCGGTTTAATCATAGCCAGCTTAAAACTTTTTGGTACATATCCTAGAGACAAAGATGAATTAATGATATTGAGAAGAGGATATATGACCTCTGGAAGCATCTCTTTCAGTAGCTTAGTCGGTATAGGGTCTAACATACAAGTTGTCAATTTACATGATTATAATGAATGGTATTTTTCCTCAGCGA